ATTGTATCCTTGTCTCCCCTGCAGATTTCACTGCCTTGACAAACACAATAGAAGATTTTTTTTTCCCTTGTTTATTTGTTTTAAAGAGTTTCAGCTGTGAGACCAAATACTACTTGGAGTTCAAACTTTAGTGACTGTTATTATTTTGGCTCTCATGGTGGGGAGCTGAAAGGAGCTGGGAGGACAAAGTGCTGCAGATTGAGATGGGAAGTGTCTCCCATGGCAGTTTTCCAGCCTCTCCAAATTGATTATGGGGGTTATGGTTATGTTGCTTGATTAAGCGTAGGAAAGAGATATTAACTTTGATTTTTCTTCTGTGATTCACTCAAATAGTACCAGGTGTTGTATTATGTAGGATACACTTGGGCACATATCCTGTAAATACATGGAACAGGCATTATTGAAGAGGGAAGCAATGGAAAAGGTCAAATGAAGAAATAGAAACAGAAAATGATGAATTTGAATCAGGTTTGGTTCCAGGAGGAGCTGAATGGCATAGCCATAAAGTACAAGGCCACTGAAGATCCAAACTAATATAAAAATTATTTTTTTTTTCTCTCCTTCTTTAAATGAAGAAACCAAAAGACCTAATTTTGCTAAAAAATACTTCATCTTGTGGTCTGAAATAATTTGCTCTGGTAGTCCTCAAGTTTGCTCACAATGCAAAATAATGTATTTGGGCTCAAGTTGGAATTTACTGGTGCACTTGTTCTGCCTGAGAATTTTGTGTTAGCTGAGATTTATGTGTTTTTGGATTTATCTTTGAGTTTGTTTTTAGCTTGTACCAGATATATCTAAAGTGCCCGGTCAGCAAACTTCTGATTACCTCACTAAACCAAAGAATTGGGTTATAAGAAGCATCATCCTTTGAATATCAATGAATAAATAGGGTAAAAAAAAAAAAGAAAAAAAGGACTTGAGAGGTTTGAACTGGTGTAAATGTGAAATAAAAACAAAATCAAGAAGTCCTAAACAATGTGAACTGTGCCCCTGGAAGCCAAAATACCATAACTCAGTCGTAGGTGACTTATGTTCACATGCTTAGCTCAGCATCTGGCTGATAACTTTTCTTATCAGGGAATACATAATTTTCTTGAAGTTAAGGGAGTTTTGCAAACATTTGTGAGGGATTGGTGTTCCATCTTTTCGTGCCAGGGATGTTCAGAGTTTGCATAATATCTGACAGCAACTTTCTTATCTTCAAGACGTGGAGAAATGAGGGTCGGTGATTATGGAAGATAAATATAGGCAGTAATGATCAGTGAAAGGGATTGATAAATGGGGTGGGGAATGGGAACAAATCTGAGACATGAAAATGCAGAAACAAATGCTTAAATTTAGAGTTCTGTCCTCGAAAAGTCCCTTCCTGTCAAATATTCCGTAATAAATGATGAAAACCTTGGCATTTGATATTTCCCAGCGACAGCCATGACATTCCTGAGATGTATGTTGGGAAGTCTTTGCCCACAGCAGGTTTGTGCAGCATGTGCAGCCTCTCCAGGAAACAGGCAGGGAACTTAAATGTGTTTTGGAGACCAGAACACACGGATAGTTTGGGCTGGTCTCTGGGACAGGGTGGAATCTTGGCTGGAGCACAGAGGCACCTGTTTTGTGGCAGAGGTGGTTTCAGTGCCAGTGGTGTCACTTGGGTACAGTCAGACAAAATAGTTTTAGGTGGCTGAACATTTATTTCGGGTCATTAACAGTTTAAAGTCAACAATTTACGTGGGGAACTCAAAAATTGGACCTGCCTCTCTTGACATCAGTGACAGAAATCCCATGGATTTCCAAGGAGCTGCATTTCATCCACGTGCTCCTGGTGCCTTTTCCTTCTGTGCTCGAGCTGAATTTTCAGAAAACGCACAAATATTTCATTTTTCTCCTCAGAGCTTTTCTTTTCATAATTATTATAAAACCAATAGGAAGATAAGTTGGCTCCTCATGGCCTCAGACCCCAACTCACCAGGCTACTCGTTTTCATTCCTTATTTCTTGCATTTATTAGTCTGTACCTGCCAGGCATTTGTGTGTGTGTAGACCAAGAACTTTGTTTATTTGAATTATAAAATCAATAAGGTTGGTGAAGATCTCTAAGATCAATAAGTCCAACCATAAACCCAGACCTTCCAGGTCCACCACTAAACCACTTCCCAAAGCACTACATCTGCAGGGTTTTTGAATGATTCCAGGGATGGTGATTCCAGCCCTGCATTGGAGAGGGATCATACATCACCCAGCACAAAAATAATAAAAGGTGGATTAATTTTTCATTAAGGCCTTTGAATTTGAAAATAACAATGAGCTAAACCAGAATAACCCATTATTATAGTTGTTCTTTTTCTCTCAATGTTTTATAGAAGAAAAATAACTATATTTTTCTCTCTCAATATTTGATAGAAGAAAAATAACTAAAAGGTCAGCGAAATTTCACATGTCCTAAGATGATATTGGATGGATCTTGTATTTATTTTTTTGAAGTACAATATTTAAATGTCAAGCGTCCCCAGGAGAAATAAATTATTCATTATAATTAGAAAATGTAATTTTATTTTTTTTTTAAAAATCATTTTTATGTGACTAAGCAGCATATTTAGTGAGAATGTTTCTTCTTTTGTACAATAGCTGTGTACTTTGAGATAATGTTCTAATTACCTAATTGCAGCTATTGTATCGAACTGGAGGTTGAGATCCAAAGTGTCATGGCAACTGGCAGAAAAGCTCTGCAGCCTCTGCTTTCTCAGTAGAGTCTCAAAAATAGCTCTTTATTGTAGGAAATAAGGAGGTAAATCTTCTTAACAAGATAAAGCTTGAACCAAGAAAGAATTTTCCCCTTTGCACTTGATGGTAAAGCATAAATTAAGCATTTCTGCTTCAATTTAATTAGCATAAGCCATCATAATAATGTACCCATAAGTGTTTGCTTTTCCAGTCTAGAGCAAACCTCTCGTGCTCAAGAGATTTACTGTAAATCATTGAATATTAATTTCTTGGATTTTATTGAAGAACATTTTACACAGTCAGCTTAGGAGAGAGAGAACAATCATTTTCTTTCCTTTGCAGGAAAGATCTTATTTAATACTGTGATATTAACTAAAAGGAACTCCATGAAATGCTGCTCCAGTTTTATGATCTTGTTAAACTCTGGAGACTTCTGGGAGTGGGAATTTCAGAAAAGAGGAAGAGTATATTTTAAATATGTCTGACTCTGAATGTCTGATAACATTATATCTTTCTGTTCACTGCAACTCATGTGATCTCTCATTAACAGTTGTAATGCTAATTAGGAAGCTGCCTCTCACTTTAATTCATAGAAATATATGATTCCATTCAGGCTGAGTAATGATTGTAGAACTGCCATAAATTCAGAAGAGAGCTTGGCATGAATAAAGATCCCAGTTCAAGTCTAATAAATTTTATAAGTTGAAAATGTAATGGATTAAAGTTTACTTGCACATTGGTGCTCTGGTGATATAACCAAAGCAAAGGTTGTTACTTTTGTGCCAATTCCCATAAATCAGCAACCTTGTCTAACATGTGCAGCTCATCCTGCACATCTGGGTTTTGTTGTTTGGTTGTGATTTTTTTTGTTTGTTTGTTTGGGGTTTTTTGGTTGGTTTGTTTTGTTTGTTTGTTGGAGGATATTGGTTGTTTGTTTTCCCCCTGAGAAGTAAAATTCATCTGTATTGGACATAATTTCAACTGACTACTTATGTCTGTGCTTTCTGGAGAGCCCATAATAATGTCCCATCAAATTAAAGTTTCACGAGCTTTTTTTTATACTCTGTCATTAACTGATTTGGGAAACAAATATTTACGAGGTCCATTTGGTTTCCATGGGTTTGCCTGGGAAATGGGGCAGCTGGGAGAAACCTCCTGCCAGGACCACTGGCTCTGTCCAGGACTGATTCCCTTCTGCTCCCAGCACAGCCCTGATGGCACATGGGGCTGGACCTTTAGTGGTTACTGGGAATTTTCTGCTTCCAAACATCCCTTTCCCATGTATTCCACTTCCCAATGTATCTAATATTCTTTCCACAGAGAAAAGCCTTCAGAAAAATACGTCCTTTACCTGTGGGTTTGCACTGAGCAGCTGGAAAACATGGACCTGGAAAAGAAATGTCAAAATCTAGAATCTGTTCTTCCCTCCCCTAAAATCCAGCCCAAATAGCAATTTATGGGAAAAGTTAGCACTGATATTGATTTCCTAGGAAACATAAGATGGTAAAACTAGAAGTGATCGTCCCTTAAATTCTGGAAAAATCATTAATTCCATAGGCAGGAGGAGGTAGTGCCTGCTATTGTGGTGGATGTTGGTAAAGTAAAGGCCAAATATCTCTCCTGGTGTTACAATAGTTCACAAAATGCACATTTGCAAGGCTTTTGGTAATGGCATTTCACATCCAAGTGTTTGCATAAAGGAGCTGGAGACTTGAATTTCCATCTCTGCCATCGGGACTCACAAACGTAACTCGTCCGAGGAACTTTGTAGCCATAAACTTTTATATCTGCGAAGGAAAAGCCGGTCAGGAGGTAAATCCAACTGCAATAGGAATGCAGAAGTGGTGACCAGTGCACCAGGCTGTCTGGTTGACTGCACTTAATTTCCTTTGTGAGACTTCAGGCAGTTAAAGCAAATCCCAGACCGAGAAGTCGCTGCTGCTCTCGCTGCTGGAATTCTGGAACGCCACTTCTGCCTTTTTTGAGCTCCCATATAAATCTCAACGAATCCACCATGAAGAAAATGAATTGCAGTCTCCAAAGTTCTCTCATTTTGCTTTCTGTTGAACCGCTACCTATTTCGAAACTTTTTTTTTCTCTCGTACCTAAGTGAAAATGTTTTCTCTAAACAGTTTTAAGTGCTTAAAAGAATATGTCATTTTGTACTTCCTAAACCACTTTTCTGTCAGGAAAAGAATAGAAGAGGTCCACAGAGATTAAGGATTCAATTTAAAAGTAATCAAATACTCATTTTTCTTATGAATATTTAGACCGGTGACTTACCAGAGCTCACACCTGAATCTGTCAAGTTCTGGGTTTATTTTCCTGGAGTCAAGGACCATCATTTTCTCCTGTTTCTGTTCCTACACAGGATTTTTTTTCATGCTCTGATTGCTCAGTATAATCCAGAAACATCTGTTCAGCTGCTTGGAGCGTGAGCTCTGATTCAGGAAAACTGATCAATCTCTCAAATCTCTCCATCACTTTGCAGCCCTCAAAAGCAAATGGAAATTCAGAGAGAGGGAGGCCCAGAAAGAGCATTTTCTCTCTAGAAAAGGCAGTAGAGATTCAAAACGAAGTGGTACTGCAAAGCTGCTGTTGCAGTTTGTCACATACGATGCCCTTGACCCACACCCAGCTCATCCCAGTTTACAACTGGAGCTTTCCCTTCTTTTTATCCCGAGACATATTTTTTGAGGAACAACAAACCCCACAATGCAACCGGGTGAAATCTGAAATTTATTCCTTTACCGCAATGGAAACTTTTTTTTTTTTTAAATCCCCACCTTCTTTGCCAGTGGGAGTTACTGGATCCTCAGTTCCTCTGCTGTTCCTACATGTGTTGAAGGATTGCTTTGTCTCCAGCTGCTGGGAGCTCTTTTCTTCCTAACAAATGTCAAGAGCTGTTTTGCTAATTCCTCTCCTGCGTGTCATCCCTCCTCATTAATTCTCCCAATGACAATGACATCTTTTCCAGAGACACTTCTCCTCCCCGAGCTGCCACCTTATTTATTTCTTCCTCTGCCTTGCCTTGAGGAACATGATAAACTTGAAGACAGTGCAGAAGGTTTCTCAATTTGTTTAGGTTTCCTGGTACAGTTGTGTAGGTCTGGCCAAAGCAGGTATAAATCTCTCTGTTATTATTTTTATTTTCTTTAAATAAAGCTATTTTTCTTAAACATACATATAATACTGTAATGATTGAATAAAATTAGTTTGGTAAAATAAAATTAATTTGTTTTATAGGGTCCTTTCAGACTCCCCAGTCTGACCTCTAAATAGCAGAGCCAACAGCTTTGGCTCAACACTGTAGAGCTACACCTGGTCTATCATGAAAATACCTGATGTTGACTTAGAGAATTCAAGAAATGAAAAGCCTTTAACACCCCTCAATTAACAACTAATAAATGATGCTGTTGAGACTGAACACCTTGAAATCCTCCTCACCCAAATTGTAGAGTTTTGTAGAAGTATTTTTATTAGGTTTTTCCACACAGTTTACATTAAACTGAACATTTCTTCTCTTTCTGGATCTCGCCCTGTAATAATTTCTCCTGTTATGAGAATTTCTGCTGTTGCTGGTTTTAATCTTTTCTATTGCTCTGTTCCCTCTCAGAGGAAACACAGTTTTTCTGTGGCCTGTTGCTCCCTTACTTACTCACCTTTCTTTAGATAAATATTTGCTTTTCACTTCTTCTTTCGTGAGGTGCTTCTTGTAAGAGGAATGCACACTGTAAAGCAAGAAAATAAAAATTAATGCATGCTCAATCTTCTTCAAAGGTCAGGAAGGATCCAATAAAAGCTGATGGGAGCCGGGTGTGTGATTTACCTGTCTGGAAAATCCTGGCCACAGGCAATATTATTATCTATTAGGAAGCAGTAACATGAGTCAGATCCTTTCCACCACACAGGAAAGATTTTTGCCAACTCAAACACTACAGGAAAAAAAGCATTTAGTAAAAGGAAATAAACCCCAGAAGTATCTCAAGTCTTATCTTAGAATCTGTGAGTCAGAGACAACAAAAGCTCTGAAGATAGAATGATTTGTACCAGATGGGAAATAATTCAGCTTAATGAAAATCAAAAAAAAAAAGGAAGTGATATGGACTGCAGAGTATTTGAATAGACACTTTTAAAAGAAATAAAATTTATGTACTAAAAGGAAAGGTTATGAATACAATAACCTTTAATAAGGAGGAGGCAGCAGTTGGAAGAAAAAAGAATGGTTAAAGGAAAATAAGAGAAAGCATGAAAATAAATATCTAGCAGGTGTGCAAAGGTTTATCATATGTTCTTGTCTTCCCCATTAGTACTCCAGAAATGTATTGAAATTATTATTTGCTCAAAATGTTAACTTCTAAAAAAGGTGTTGGTTTGCACGTCCATTTCAACCAGTTTGCAATATTGGTGAAAAGTGGTTTGCTGCCATAACTTTTTTTTTTAATATTTAATTGTTTCTTCAAGAGATGCTTGTTGCTGTATCACTCAATCAAAGATTCTACCAGGCAAGGAAATATTTTTTTAAATCCTTGGTGTTTGCTTTGCACGCTAAACAACGAGGAAGTGACCTCAGGGAAGGTTTAAGTTGGATATTAGGGAAAATTTCTTCATGGAAAGGGTTGTAAAGCCTTGGAACAGGCTGCCCAGGGAAGGTGTGGAGTCACCATTCCTAAAGTGTTTGAAAAATATGTGGATGTGGCACCTGAGGACGTGGTTAATCAGTGAACATGGTGGTGGTGGATGGTTGGACTTGAGGATCCTAAAGGTCTTTTCCAGCTTTAATGAAACTTCAGTTTGAGGGTGTTGGTGAGGATGAGATTCCAACAGTTCCATGGAATATCTCAGAGAGCCTCTGGGAAGCTTTTGTTTGGATCCCTCAGGTAAATGGGAGCTGATCTGTTTGGCATCAGCTTCACTGCACCTCTTGATTTACATCACAACTTCATGCCTGGAATTTGAACATTATCTAAACTTATCTAGAGCCTCCTCTGCAGCATTAATTCCTATTTCTCACAAAGGTGCTGAGCAGGTGTTTTTCTCTCCCATAAAATGAATAGTGTGCCATGAAAATGTATTTTCACACTGCATGGAAAAACAGCCCGATGCTGTAAAGTGCTGGGAAGGCACCACAAAGTCTCTCCTGCTCGTGAAAGTGGAAGGAAAATCAAACTGCTGAATATTAAAGATCAACTCTAAAAAGGGAATTCATGATGTTTCTGCTTATTGTCCTAAACAGAGATCCAAGATTCAAAACCTGTTCCCCAGTGAGGCCTCCTACCCACACATGCTGTTTTCAGTAATAAATTAAGTTCTGGCTTATGGAAAAAAAAAAAAAGAAAAAAAAAACCAACAAAAAAACCCCAAACAAACAAACAAACAAACAAACAAAAAAAACCCAAGCAACCAAACAAATAGAATTTTTCCATTTGCTTGAAAAACTTTTTCTGTGGTGGCTGTAAAAAAATGCACATTTATAATTATAAGGGTATTACATTACTTAGATCCAGCTAGTTTCAGTTCTTTTATTCAAGGAAGCACAACCTGTTTCAGTTCTTGTGTTCATCTTGTCAAAAAATTAAAAGAGAAGATCAGCAATTTTCATCTTTCTCCCCAAAACAGAACTTGAGTCCTGTGTGACCAGTCTAGAAGAAAAGTTTTAAAGCCAAAGAGCCTTCAAGGACATCCAGAAATTAACTTTATGTCATTAAAAACGTTTACCTCGTTTCACAGCTGATTCACAGCCACTGTAATTCAAAGTTAGTCATTCCATGAAGGTTCAGCAGTAAAAGATTTCCTTCTCTAGGACTCTGAAATGTTTTGTTCTGGTGCATTCCAAGAGACACCCTGTGGAAATCTAAGCTTGTTCTTAAAGAAATGAAGAAAAAAAGAATCCCAAATGCAAGGCCACAAATGAACATAAAAAAACCCAAACACACTTTTAGCAAAAAAAAATTTAAAAAAATTCCTTTGTATTTATTTTGTACAAGGTCAACTACCTCTGTTCAGCAAGATAATTCAGTCAGATTTGGGATTCTGAAATTTTTTTCACTTTTTTATTCATCTAACAATATTTAGAAATAGGTCTCTTTTTTGTGGGAAAAAGAAAACCAACCTTGAAATTGAGATGGTCTGTAAGTACTTCAGCAGAATGATCAAGGACTTCATCACAACACTGTTTGAAATGTGCCTTTATCCATAGAAATTTGCCGAAAATAGCATTTTGTGGGGAAATTTCCAGAAACTTCTGCAGTTTTCCAGCAGTAGGTGAATAACCCCATCCCTCAGATTCCTGAGGAACGTTTGCATCAACCTGCAGGGTTTTTGAATGCGATTCTAATGCCACACTTACAAAATAAATTCAACACAATCTTCACATTTGGAGGAAAGGAGAGAGATTTTCCTGCCTTTTAAGCAACTGGGGAAGGTGAGAAACAGCATATTCATAGGAATATGAAGTGCTGAGATATACAATTAGAAGAGGTGTCAAAAAACTTAATTGAACAATGACATGCTGTCAGCAGCAGCTTAAATGCAATCCCATGATGACACTTGCTATAAGCTATGTCAAAATGAAAAATAGGGGAGAACTGACGTGTGGAGGGGCTGAGATTCCTGATGGATATTCCTACAGAAGCAAAACAAGTGACAGGAACATAAACTGCAGCACTGATTACCCTGTAATTAAATGGAATTAATAAAGGATCAAGGTAACAAAACACAGAACAGGACCCATGAAAACAGGGGCAAATGTGGACTTGGAAATTCTGCTGTAGAGGTCCAAGATTTAGGAATAGCAACTGGTTGGTTGCCTCTGGTGTCAGATTTGTGAGCCTTCTGGGAGACAAAGCAGCCAATTCTTGTTTCCCCCACATTTTTCCACTCTCTCTGTCACATCCCCTGAGGTTTATTGCTCCTTGGGAATTGTGAAGGACTTTGGTGGTGATTTTCCCTACAGAGCATAAGGCACCTTTCCATCCCCACTGCATGGAGGGCTTTCATTGTCACTGGGAATAGATTCCTGCTTTTCCCCCTGGCTGTCACACTCCACCCTAATCTTTAGATTAATAGACCACACATTATTTTAGGAGAGCTCTCCCTGGTTTATTTTAGTGCCATCAACACAGTCAACCACGTGCTGACTTCTCAGCTCAGCATCCCGGGATAAAAAGTGTTTCTTCTCTCCCACACCCTTCATCTTGCATGAGTTTAATTTCAAACAAATCTGAACAGATGAAAAAAAAATAAAAATAATGATGAAACCCAAAATATCACCCATCTGCTTGAAATGCTTCAAGGTTTGAACACGGGATATTGAGTGTTTCCTACTGTTTATTAATAGATAATAGCAAATGGAATTTTTAAAATAACTTCAAATAGCATTCTTAGGAAAAAAATTAGCATTTCTTTCATCAAATGCATTTTCTATTATTTACCAGCTCATAGAGTTAGTTTTAATAAGTAACTTTAATAATTAACTTTAATAAGTTATGCCAACAGTAAATAGTTCACCCTAAATTCTATATTGAATGCAGCAGACCCTTACTAATTCACATTTTGCTAATCCTCACACTTTCTAACACACAAGAACCTCTCCCTTCACCTCCTGTCTCTTTGCAAAGATTTAATATCATAATGTTTCAGTGACTCCTCAGCCTGTTGGAATCTCATTATTTATACAGCATAAATAATTAAACTAGACCCTCTTTTTAAAATTAAATGAGCCATGGATTTCTGAACTAGTTACCTTAGTTATAAATTGTGCCAGGAGCTGATCTTCTCTCACATGCAATTAAAGTGCTCACTGACCTCTTGCACTGAGGCTCCAGAATTAGGGAAGTCACCCAAGCAAGGACAGACTGGATGGGATGCAATATGGACAGTATGGACAGGGGAGTGCTTAGGAGGTTTTTTCCCTACTCCATTTTTTTGGAAGCCAAAAATCACCCTTTTATGGTGAATATGTGTCCAGGTGGTTCTGCTGCTCACTCAATAAACTCACTGTGTCACCAACTGGGGCTGTGCTCACGTTCTGCACCCAGAGGTACTGGTGGAAACCTCAAATTTTTCAGTAAGAGAATACTTTTCCCCTTGCTCTTACTTCTCTGTTGTTAGTCCATCATTTAACAGAGAGGTTGTTTTGGAGAATAGTTCCAATAGGTGTCTGTAATTGCTATTTTTTAGGTAACTTGTTAAAAAAAAATTAATTTATCATTAATACCATTTCTGTGCATATTTTAAAATAATAAAAAAATAGGTACACACCATAAAAAAGCCCCCTGGCCAAAGGGCAGTGCCCTCCCACCCAGGGAGGGTGTTTAGTTGTGCAGGGCAAGTTTGAAAATTGAGATGCATGGCCTGTTTTAAACCTCATAGAGGAATTTTTTTCTGAGTTACCTGAATAAATCTCTGCTTAATCCCTGGGTGATGACAGAATTTCTCACCTCTAAGCTTTGTGTGCTAACAGCCCAGCATTTGGAAATCCTGATTAGCCACAGAGTCAGTCGGAGGGGCAGAACCAAACAACAGGCCAGGCTGGGGAGCTGTTTGTAGGGAACACAGCTAAATAAATAAAACACAGTGCAGCCACTTGGGCTGGTGCTGGGGACCAAAAAACATCTCTAAAATAAAAATATCGGTCCTAAAGCTGTTTAATGTCTCAGCAGGGCACAGGGCTGAGCGTTCCTGAATATTGACAGTATGAATATACTGCATTTGTGCAGACAAAGCTGCAAATGAATTCAGTTTGCATTACACACGTGTAATTACAATGCCTTGCCCTCTTTATGCATGTGTTAGCTGCAAATAAATGAGATTTGTTTGATGTTTTCCACTGCACCACAGATAAAAGATCCGGAGCAAACAGCAAACCCATCGCTTTGATCCTGTGTTGAAACACGGGGATGCAGATTAAGGTCTAAATGCAACTTTTCTGATCGTAGCACTGCTGAAGGAAAGGTGTGTATCTTGGGTTTTTTAATTAATAAATAAAAGGAGTGAGAAGAATCCATTTTTTTCTTGTCTGAAATAATTACTTTCTTGCCCCATGGTCAGCAGAGGACGTTTTGCTGACAAGGAACCAACAATAAAAACACACAAAACTCAGAGCAATGTGACACAGTGGCTGCTGCATTTTGAGGGTAGGGAAAAAACTCACCTTTTCCTGTTCTCTATTGCAGGTGGTTCATTGCATTCAATCAGACAAGCACTGATACATTTAAAATTCAAGGAACAAAAATACAGATGGAGATTTTGTTAACTGTTTGGAGGAAATTCTTGGTCCTCACAGCAATAGCTGCACACCTGAGAAAGGAGAGGGTGAGAAAAATCAGTTTATAAAAAGTGTAGGAACTGTAGCAAATTAAAAGAGCATAAGAAAAAAAAAAAAAGCAAAACAAAACAAATAAACCCCTAAATCCTAATATTTTTTTTTTCTTCAATGAGAATGGGATTAAGCTTGAGAGTGCATAAATTTACGCTTATTGAGAAGTGGGGAAACATAC